AGGGTGGCCCCTACCTGTCTCAGCAGCCCAGGTCCCATGTGCTGTCCCTTGGCAAGGCATGCAGAGGAACCCCATCTTCAGAAACTCTAGTCAGCTATGCCCCAAACCTGCCAGCACCCACCCCTCTCGTGGTGCAGGTCTTGTCTCTGGTTGTCTGGTTTCTTTGTGTGGTTCCCTGGTCCCTCCAGAGCCAAATCCCCTCAGTGCAATGCACCCAGCCCTCCAGCAGCCACACCTTCCCTCAGGGTGCAGCACAGGGACCCTGGGGCTCACGTTCCCTGTGCGCTCAGCCCAGCACACCTACCACCATGGTCTGGTTGGGCCTCCCTGACACACTCTGGTGCTACCCCAGGCCCAATGCTTTAATAAGGGGTGAGGGACATTTTCACCGTGGGCCACCTGTGGTCTAGGGACATTTGGATATCCTTTAAGGAGAGAAAAGGAAAGCACCAGGACATCAGCAGGGCCCACAGCATAGTCAGAGGAGGAAGAATCATGCTTTAGACTCGACACGTATCTTGGATTAGAGTGACTGCATCGAGGACAACACTCACTTCACAGAATCACAGAGAGTATATGGGCAGCAACCCCATAGGGCATGAGCTTGGGGACCAGCAGTACACGTGCCTGGAAAACGCATAGGATCCTGACACTGAGGACAACTTCACCATCATTTGCAACCTGTTTAGAGGGGTGTCCAGATACCTGACATCCGTTTACTCTTCCAACTGACTGCGACAGATTCCCTAAGCCACACCTGCAGCCACGAGACAGCTCGAGGCAGATTCCAGGGTGACCAGAGAGGACACACACCCATTTCCTCTGTGCTACAGGCCCTCTGGTCACATGGCAATCCTCAGGTCCCCCTTCCATGTGCACCGCAATCACCCAGTCCGCTGGTCGGGTATAGTGGGGCCAGAGAGCCGCATTTTTAACAAGTTCCTGGTGATGCTGATGCCACAGGCCCATACAATGATGCCACCAGCCTCCAACCTCTGTGCACGCCCATCTCAGCTTGCACCCCATCACCCGTGAGCCCCATCATCCTAAATGCTAGGCCCAGGGCTGCAGGCCCCACACTCACTGACCACTTCACTCACCCACCCCAGAGGGTGCTCAACTTACCCAGAATTCCAGCAGCTCTGTTAGATGGCTGATATTTTCAATCTTTTTAATTCTGTTTGCCGCAATGTCCAGCATCGTGAGTTTGTTCTAAATAAGGAAGTAAAGTTTGTCTCGGGTATACCTCAGTTCAACGGTGATTGCATGGCCATGAACATAGCTCAGAGCTGTGGGCCAGCTGCCCTCGCAGAACAGAGGCATGCTGACAGAATGATGACCCCTGCCCACTGCTTGCAGGTCCTCCCCACCCCTGCCCACTACACAGCATCCACACAACCACATCACCCAGTTCTCAGTATCACTGGGATATCAAACTGGTTCTGTTAGACCTGAGCCTGGAGCTCCCAGATGCCCATCCACAAGGACCCAGTGAGACGACAGTCCTGGGAAGGGCAGGGTAGCCCCTGTCAAAAAGCAAAGGGAGGCCTGGCCCCTGGGGCTGTATGGGGCACGAGATTTAGTGCTTATCTCAAGGACCCCTCTGACACTAATACTTAGAATAGCATTTTTTCATTCCGGAAGAAGAAGCCTGGGCTGGTCCGAGGTAAGAAACTGCACAGGCACAGGTGGAGGTGGTGGATGGGGATGTCAAGCCCATGCTCCTGCAGTATAGGCTGTCCTGTCCAGGGAAAGGCCACCAGGAGCAGGGCAGGGGAAGCCTGGGCACTAAGGGAGGGGCTGGCTGGCCTGGATTGCAGCCGATGGAAGAGAGGCGATGGGAGGAGTCTGGAGCCCAGCCCCGCAGAGGACAGTGCCCAGAGCTCTGAAAGTGTGTTCCTATGCCTCATCCCTCCATTTCTGACCGGGTCTCTTCTCCCATTCTCTTCTGTACCTTGGGACACTGACACCAAACCCTCCCAAATTTAAGGGCAAGTTAAAGAATGTCCCAGTAAAATAAAATGACCCCCTGCCTGTCCCTAAAGCACACAGACAGCAGCTCTGCTGACTCAGACGCGCTCTGGCCTTGGTGTCTGACTCCTTGTGGGCCCAGCCCCACCTCCCCACACCCCATGTCCCACCTGGGGTGGAGCAGTGACAGCAGGAGCTGGGGTGCTCATGCTGGGCTCGTCATGTGTCCTTAGCCTGGCGAGTGCCTGTAGCACACAGGAGGCTTCAGAGCAAACAGGGACTGGAGAGGGGCCTGTGGGCAGCCCTTGGGTGCACGGTAGGCACATGGCAGGGACAGGCCGGGTCCATGTTCCTGAGGGTGGGTCTCTCCAGCCATGCCCATGTTTTGCAATTCTCAGTGCAGGTGCAGAAACCAGCAGAGCTAAAGTAGCCCGACACATGGCAGATCTGATCTCTGCGCAGTCTGAGCGCATAGGCTCAGCAGCAGAGCGGGGTCCTGGCTACCAGAACTGGCCCTGAAACTCTGAGGACAGGGAATCAGTTAGGCACTCAACACCTCATGTTTTTCTGGGGAGCTGGACAATGTTTTGAGAGCAAACTAGTAAGAATCTCTCCCCATCCTGCAAAACAAAAGGAAAGTGGGGAGAGCAGGCACCAGAGGCTCCGACTTCCAGCAGAGGGACAGGTGTGAGAGCTCAGACCAGACCAGCAGGAAGACGCAGTGCATGGAGGGAATAGCAGAGCAGAGGAGCAGTGATTACTGTCTCTGTGAGGCCCTCACTGCCTGTGCTGATAAGACACTGGCCGTGGTGGGAACACTGGTTTAGGGCTCACTCAGGGGACTTTCCTGCATTTCCTGGTGAGAGGGGTCACTCTGTCTGCAGGACTGGAAGCTTCTCTATGAGAAACCTCCAGAGGCAGCATCTACTGAAGACCAGCCCCGGAGGCCGAAGTGTGCTGCTGGCCAGGTGCCTGCCACTCAAGCCCTGTGCCCACCCGCCCAGATGGACGAGAGGACGCCTTACGTTGTTCTCCAGGCCTTCTATCACTTCGATGCCGTTGTGGCTGAGGTACAGCTCCCTCAGGTTTACCAGGCTCTGCAGACCCTCCATCTTGGTCAGCCTGTTGCTCTGGAAGGGAGAGCCGACAGCCGTCAGAATCATGTGTAGGATGTGAGATAAGACAGCTTTTAGGAAAGGAGGTTTCTCTTGTTGGAGAATTCGGACAATTGGGCATTCCACTTAAAACAGGCCAGCATCAGGTTATGAAGAGAGAGAAAGATCAGCATCTCCAGTCTGTTGTCCTGGGCTACAATTCATGCGTGAAGGTTGAAGGTTTTTATGCAAAGAATTTATTGTTTTTAGATGTACTCAGGGAGGGTCTAAAAATCAGCTTAGTAGTTCAAATGTTAAGATCACTGAATATTTTAAAATTCTTCTTTCTTTCTTTCAGGATATGTTGTAACTCAAATTAAAACTATGAGGCTCTCCCATACCCAGTCCCTGTCACCAGAACACCCACCACATCCCACCTCCCTGGTCTGATTCCACTCATTGGCTTTTAACAGAAAAGGTCACGTGAGCCTAGCAATATTCAGGTGCTGACTCCCAAATGCAGAGTAGGACCCTCGCCCACCATTGAGCCAAATATGCTAGGAACATTTGGAACAAACTTATCCTTCTCAAGATGCCCCTTTGCCTAAAAACCACCAGAGACTTTTACCAAGCAAAGGAACGTGACCCATAAAAGATGAAGTGTTAGTCTAACACGCATATGTTCACAGGAGCATGTGCACATATGAGATCTAATGCTTCAACTGCTCGTGATGCAGTGCTGATCATGGACATAGTGGGAGAGAAAACTGTGCCAAGTAGCAGCTCTGGCTGGCCGGGAGGCCATGCAGGCCCTGCTGGTTCAGGACAGGGGGTGGAGGTGGGGCAAGCTGGTTTGATACCTGTATACTGAGGACTGTCAGGTTGGAGAGTGCATCCAGGTTTTGAAGTTTAGTGATCTTGTTTTTCCCCAAAAACAAACTGTCCAAATTGGTTAACGTGTCGATATTTTCAATGGCCTGTAAAACGGACAGAGCAACAGTTTTCCCAGGGGAGGGCACAGCACTCTCTGGATTTCGTCTTGGGGTGTCAGGCAAGTCTCAATCTGGAAACTTTGCAGTAAAATCTTACTTCAAAGTACAGAATGAAAAAACTGAGGATAGGTGGAGGGTCTGAGGCCTGTCTCTCAGGCTCACTCCTAACCTCCATGGACCAGATTTCCAAGTCCTCCCAGTTCTGAGCTGACACTGTTCTGTTAGTCTATGTGGGGTTTGTTACAATGCATCCCACCAGCCTCAGTCTCCCCAGAAGTGAGCCTCCACGCAGGATCTGGCTGTGCCCCTCTTCCTCGTTCCCCACCCTTTCTCGTCCTCCCTGCCAGGTGCTGAGCTCTGCGCATCTGCACACAGCAGGGTTTAATGAATGTGCAGTGACCAGATCTGTCTCCCTCCTCTGCTCAGTCAGGGCGGGCTAGCACGGGGGTGACCGCAGCAAGTGCACGAGGTGCAGCTCGTCTGCCCACTGCAGCAGGACTTGGCTGGGGGGTCTATGAGGATGGAGACTCAGGAGAGGGCACCCTTAACAGCTCCTGCCTGCGGTAATTTGTGACAAGCCACCTCTCCTGGAACGTGCCACAGAGACACTTAATAAAATACTGATGTGACTGCTCTCTAGTTTTAAACGTATGGCTCTGCTGCCACATTACCGCCAACAGTGTCTGTCCTCACTACAGCCACCTCTTTGGTTTGTGTCCTGCCCAACTCTGAAGGGCCAAGCCGGACCGACAACTGTCAGCTGTAAGCTTCCAAAAGCCATACGGAGGGCTACTTTCCCCAGGGACGGAGGGGAAGAAATGCTCAAATATACCTGAGCTCAGCTGCTCAGCAAGGCCAGTGGGAAGCACAGGCTTCCTGTGGCCCTGGTGGAGGTCAGGTTGCTGTCAGCCCCTCTGCTCGGAACACGCTCATGTCAGGCAGGATTGTCAGAAACACAACCAAAGTGTTTGGGGCCAATCAGTTCACCTCAGGCAGAATGTACTGGTAACTGGGATGGTTTGCTAAGAGTTTAGCTCAGACTGGGATGGAGAGCAAGTGAAACCTACATGCAGCAGGCTCGGCCACTCCATTTGGGCACATATTCTTTTTTTTTATTTTTTATTTTGTTTTGTTTTTATACCAAGCAACCTATGTAACAAACATGGTTGTTTTATTTTTCTGGGCACATATTCTTATTAATACTGACCCTAGTATTTTTCTTAAAAATTAACTTTTGTTTCTGGGGGGGAAAAATCACACCCTATGGAAAATATACATCCTGTACCCCCAGGCCATGCCCACACCTACCCGGATGCGGTTGGATCCCAGCTCCAACATCTCCAGTTGACGTAAGTTGCTCAAGTTCTCAATTTTATTGATTTTATTGTTGACCAAGAAGAGCTTTTTCAGTTTTGTCAACTTGTCAACCCCTTCAATGTTTCTCAGTAGATTAAAAGAAATATCTAGAATCCTGGAATGAGCAAAACAATTATTTTTGAAGAGTACAGGCCACACAGAACTCAGAATATAACTGTCTCAAGGGCGGCATCCCCACCCGGGGAACAGCCTCCAGAGCCCCCAATACCTGCTCACAGGACTGCACTGAGGGCAGACACCATGTCATCCCCTACTGACAGGACCAACCAGCAGCCTCTACCCAAAGTTTGATTTGCAGGCTGGGACTGGGCAAGCTGATGCCACCGATGGAGCCAGGAATGGGGCAGGACCCAATGGCAGAGGTGGCCTCTCCAGGGCAGACTGGTTCTGGGGACACTGGTCAGCCCCAGGTCATCCCTGGGGCTTGGGACTCACTCCAGCTCTGTTAGTGTGTCCAGATTCTCTATCTTCTTGATCTGGTTGTCATACAGGTCCAGTTCTCGGAGGCTGTGCAGCTCCTCCAGGTTCTCAATGCACTTAATTAGATTTTGACGGAGGCAGAGAGTCTGGAGGGTTGGAAAAAGGATACTTGACGTAGGCAACAAACAGGGAGGTCATGGGAAAGCCTTAGGGGGAAGGATGTGTTTTCTAGAAAGGGGCTGGCATGGGGAAGATGGAAGACACCCACAGGAAGGCTGCAGACAGGCCCTGTACCAAGAAGACCTGCTCAGTAAGGGAGGCTTTGGTCAGTTTGGGGTGTATGTTGTTTCCTGGCAGAGTGAACCCTTGGGCTCAGGTGAGTTCAGGACTGTACAGTCTGATGCAGGCTCAGCTGCAGGCAAGCCCTGAACTGAGGCTCTGCTAGCAGCAGTGGGTCTGAGCCGCTGCCTGAACTGGGGCCGAGTCATAGCCGCCTGCACTACTCCTCAAAACTGCCATGTTCATAGCCACCTGCACTACTCCTCAAAACTGCCATGTTCATGCTCAATGTGGTTCCTGATGTAGGTGGCACCTCCTGCCGGACTGTGCTTGCCTCAGAGCTGAGTCTCAGTTATGGATTTACCTACACCCTGTGGGTGGGGCAAGCTCTGGACTATTACAAAATCACCTCACATGAAAGGACAGACCTCCTCTCACCTTCACTTTCTTCAGAACCTCAAATCCTTCAATTTTTCCAATGCGGTAGTGATTCAGGTCAATGTCCTGAAACAGAGAAGAAATTGAACTTAGCTGCAGGAAAGTGCCCAGAGCCCCACTTCTAGGAGCCTTGCTTCCTAGAACAGGAGCTAAAAAGGGGCCTGATAGGGGGGTGGACATGAGGGTGGGGAGAATAGGTGAGCCAGTGCCACACAAAAGTCTGCAGCAGATAGGTGACAGGGACATAGAGGTGAACTTCAAGATGCTCATGGGTTTAGCTAGGATTTATCATAGTTTTATGTAAAACTAACCCTCCAAATGAGCGGTATATGACATCTTCCTCTCACCCCCTAGTGCAAAATGAGGTGCAAGAAGGTACACCCAGCCCTAACTGGTTTGGCTCAGCGGATAGAGTGTCGGCTCTAGGAAGAGCCCTGCCCAGGACTTGCTACATCAGCTTTATTTGACTATAACTTTTTATATCCATTTATGTAACATTTAGAAATACATTTAATGGAAGTTAAAATGAAAAGCTTCCAATTACTGCAGCTTAAGAAAAAAGACCTTCCCTTTGGTGTGAAGGCCTCCTTTGCCCTCTGCCCGGCCTTTTCCGGGCTCTGTCAGTGTCTCCTCACCCTCTTCCTTCCCTCCTCCCAGCGCCCCGTCAGCCTCCTCCAGGGCTGTTCTGATCAGTTTGGCCCTTCTTCAGGGTCATCCCGCTCCAGCTAGATCCAGTGACTCCTCAGTGAGCACGCCCAACATGCTCTTGCCTTCTTCCCTCGCACACATCACCTTGTACCTACGTGATTAATTATGGTTGCCTGATCTGCTCCCCTCCCCTGGACCTGACAGTGGGAGTGGCACAGAGTGGGTGGGCTTTCCCTCTTTGTACCATCAATAGTGCCACCCACTGGCTTCTCTTTTCAACCCCACCCCCTCTCTAAAACTAGCCTCCTACACTTTGTCTTTGGTTGTTTCAAAACTCAGAGAGGGTCGGTCCCTGCTGCCCAGTGCTCATGAGCACTCTCAGCCTGGATCCCCTGCCCACCCCATCCCGTCTCTAAGTGTCCCTTCTGGAGCTGTCCTGTACCTCTCCAATGGAGATGCACTTCACGTGGCTGTGGCCTTGTCGGTCCCAGCATGGGCACCAAGGGTATTTCCATTTGAGCTCAGGCGACCCAGGTGCATGCAGGGTCCTCTGGTCTAGCTAGCACTTCTTTTGCTCGTGGCCCTCTGGCTTCTCTTGCCCTTGCCTATTTCTATACAGATTCCTATCTCTTCTCTGACTTGGGGAAACTTCTTTACATATAATATTAGGCTCTTGCCAGATTTAAACGCTGCAATACCGCAATACCTATCTGCTATCTGTGGCCCGTTCAAGGTGCTCTCTGTTCTACAGGAATTTTCATTTTTATGTTAAACCCCCATCAGCCCAGCTGGCGTAGCTCAGTGGTTGAGCATTGACCTATGAACCAGGAGGTTCCTGGTCAGGGCACATGCCCAGGTTGTGGGCTTGGTCCCCAGTGGGGGGTATGCAGGAGGCAGCCAATCAGATTCTCAAAAACAAAAAAACACACCCTTGTCCAATGGTTGCACTTTGGGTTTTAAGTTCTTCACTCTGCACTCACAAATAGGTTTTCCCACATTTTTCTACTAACTTCCTGTTTTATTTTCACACCGAGGTTTTCAGTCCTCTAAGTTGGCCCAGTGTGCACCCTGCCTGGCCCGAGCCAACCCCCGAGCCCAAGCCCGTGTCTGCCCGCTGACTGCTGTTACTGCAGGTCTGCAGTCAGTAGAATCCAGCAGGAAATCACCTCTACTGACATCTCCTCAAAGCTGACTGGACTTTTCCAAAGTTTCAATGTGGACCTTTTTTCTTCCGTATAAATTTTAAAGTTTAATGAATTTCTTTAAAAATCAGGTGGGATTTTAATTAGGATTGTGCTGGATTTATAGCACGTTTCCCTTCAACCTTTTTGTATAACTTTCAAATGTGAAAGAACAGACGCTGGACTTCAATTTGTGACCCAGTCTGAGTCTCCCCTCCACCCCAGGGCTTCCTTGTCTTTTTTGTCCCCAAGAGGATACGAGGCTGGACGGACTGACAGCCTCACCTCTGCCCCCCACCCCCCTTGAATCTCCTCCCTGTCCTCTTTGCTGGAAGATTTGGATTTTTCCTAGTTGTGAGTTGGCTGTTTCATAACTGATTTCTGTTCTACTAGAGGTTACTTTAAACCTCTCTTTTCCTATAAACTTTATTGCTCCCCTTTCTACCCCAAGGTGAACATTCCTCCTTTTTAGTTTCTCACTTGGAGTATGTCCTTTTTGGGGTGGAATAACTTTTTTCAACACAGGCACCCCAATCCTGAACCCTTGTGTCTAAACACATCTCTTGGCTGTGGGCAGAGTGCTGGGTCACCGTGCCAAGGGGCCCCGTCCTACCCCCCCCTTTCCTTTCGAGGAGCTTGCTCTTCAATAGGCGCGCACGGTCAGGTTGCATGGTTTATTTTGGCCAAGACTAAAATCAGGACTTGGACATGGCCTTCACCTTAGGGCAACCACTGCCATGCTTATGGCTTCCCTGGCCATGGATCACCGCTGCCCCGAAGGCACCAATATGCTCCCGGCTCCCAGGGCTGCCTGCGCACAGCGGTGTCACAGCACCTAGGGCAGTGCTGGCCAGGAGGGCACTCCGTGATAGTCACATGGGCTGCCCTGGAGAGCTGTGGCTACTGAGCACTTGGGAAGTGCCGAGCACAACCGAGAAACTGAATTTTTAATTCCACTTTATTTAAACGAAGTTAACTGTGACTGAATCAGCCATGAGTAGCAGCACGTGGCTCCCATACTGGACAGGGCATCTCTGAAGAGTGGGGAGCGGAGGGACCTGTAGTGACTGTGTGGGTCCTCATTCTGCAGAGGAGAAATCTGAGACCCCGAGGATGATGAGGTCTATGTAGACTGAATCAGACCCCTGGGGCTGTTGAGGTAAATTTTATAAAACATGAGTCAACACGATGATGGGGTCAGAGTGGGAGACAATGTTGCAGGTGGTCAGAGGTGAGCTCTTTGCAGAAAGTCTCTGAGGAGCCTCAGGTGGGTTTACCATCTGTCAGTGGCAACATGACCTCAGAGGGCGGCAGGGGCAGGGGGAACAGGGGGAACAGGAGGAACGGGGCCTGCACACGACACTCGCAGGGGCAGGGGGAACAGGAGGAACGGGGCCTGCACACGACACTGCTCTTTAAGAGAGCTGAGGGTCACAGCACAGAGGGCTGAGCACCCTTTACGCAGTTTTGTTTTAAAATATCATTTTAAAACACTGGCATCACTGGTCTAAAAGACTAGAAAGCTCTGGGCTGATAGGCTTCAGGCCACTGGGACGGCCCCTGAATGCCCACCCAGCAGCACACGGATGCTTGAGTGACCTCCCTGAGAGGACACAGAGCAATGGGACACCGTGTGGTGCATGGAACAGCAATGCCTCCCAGAGTGTGACTGGCAGTACACACGGCAGTGATCACTCAGTGCCTTTTTATTGCCATTGGGTTGTGACCGTTGATAGTGATGATTTCAGGAGCAACGGGTGGATTAAAAAACCGTGGCCAGGAAGTTCTTTTGGAGAGAAAGAGCAAGTGAGGGCGAGGAGGGTCAGAACCTGACGAAGGTGGCGTCGATCTGCCGCACGCTGGGCAGTGCCAACATCACCTTCCGTCGGTACTGTGGGTCCTTCTGCAGGGGGTTCCCCTCCAAGTATACTGTCTCCAGGTTCTTGGCTCCCTTCAGCTCGTCCAGGTCGCTCCAGCTCTCGAGGAGATTGTCATTCATCTGGGAGGACACACACAAACACGCACACACAGACTTAATGAGACAGAAAATGTATATGTATTTACAAGCAACTGTTACTTTCTCCTCTGTGACTTGCCTGTTTGCTTCTGCCCAGTGTTCAAATGGCAGCTCTGTTCGGCTGTGTTTAATGTCAGGACATCACCTCATCGGATAGAGTCGTATAAGCACATTCTCACTGTCATGCAGGCGCCCTCCACCTGACAGGAATCTGAATGCTCAGCTGTGAAATGGGCAACGCTGCCTGCCTCTCAGGCTGCCGTGATCGTCAGTCGGACGGGAAAGCCGTCTGGACACCACAGCAGCTCTGTCTGTGCTTACTGTCTGTCTGGTGGTCTGAGGAACAGCATTCCTGTGTTCCGGGGCCAGGTGCTAGCCAACCTCCAGCAGTCGTGAGCCTGCCTGCCTCCCAGGTAACTAGGGTGGCCCCTACCTGTCTCAGCAGCCCAGGTCCCATGTGCTGTCCCTTGGCAAGGCATGCAGAGGAACCCCATCTTCAGAAACTCTAGTCAGCTATGCCCCAAACCTGCCAGCACCCACCCCTCTTGTGGTGCAGGTCTTGTCTCTGGTTGTCTGGTTTCTTTGTGTGGTTCCCTGGTCTCTCCAGAGCCAAATCCCCTCAGTGCAATGCACCCAGCCCTCCAGCAGCCACACCTTCCCTCAGGGTGCAGCACAGGGACCCTGGGGCTCACGTTCCCTGTGCGCTCAGCCCAGCACACCTACCACCATGGTCTGGTTGGGCCTCCCTGACACACTCTGGTGCTACCCCAGGCCCAATGCTTTAATAAGGGGTGAGGGACATTTTCACCGTGGGCCACCTGTGGTCTAGGGACATTTGGATATCCTTTAAGGAGAGAAAAGGAAAGCACCAGGACATCAGCAGGGCCCACAGCATAGTCAGAGGAGGAAGAATCATGCTTTAGACTCGACACGTATCTTGGATTAGAGTGACTGCATCGAGGACAACACTCACTTCACAGAATCACAGAGAGTATATGGGCAGCAACCCCATAGGGCATGAGCTTGGGGACCAGCAGTACACGTGCCTGGAAAACGCATAGGATCCTGACACTGAGGACAACTTCACCATCATTTGCAACCTGTTTAGAGGGGTGTCCAGATGCCTGACATCCGTTTACTCTTCCAACTGACTGCGACAGATTCCCTAAGCCACACCTGCAGCCACGAGACAGCTCGAGGCAGATTCCAGGGTGACCAGAGAGGACACACACCCATTTCCTCTGTGCTACAGGCCCTCTGGTCACATGGCAATCCTCAGGTCCCCCTTCCATGTGCACCGCAATCACCCAGTCCGCTGGTCAGGTATAGTGGGGCCAGAGAGCCGCATTTGTAACAAGTTCCTGGTGATGCTGATGCCACAGGCCCATACAATGACGCCACCAGCCTTCAACCTCTGTGCATGCCCATCTCAGCTTGCACCCCATCACCCGTGAGCCCCATCATCCTAAATGCTAGGCCCAGGGCTGCAGGCCCCACACTCACTGACCACTTCACTCACCCACCCCAGAGGGTGCTCAACTTACCCAGAATTCCAGCAGCTCTGTTAGATGGCTGATATTTTCAATCTTTTTAATTCTGTTTGCCGCAATGTCCAGCATCGTGAGTTTGTTCTAAATAAGGAAGTAAAGTTTGTCTCGGGTATACCTCAGTTCAACGGTGATTGCATGGCCATGAACATAGCTCAGAGCTGTGGGCCAGCTGCCCTCGCAGAACAGAGGCATGCTGACAGAATGATGACCCCTGCCCACTGCTTGCAGGTCCTCCCCACCCCTGCCCACTACACAGCATCCACACAACCACATCACCCAGTTCTCAGTATCACTGGGATATCAAACTGGTTCTGTTAGACCTGAGCCTGGAGCTCCCAGATGCCCATCCACAAGGACCCAGTGAGACGACAGTCCTGGGAAGGGCAGGGTAGCCCCTGTCAAAAAGCAAAGGGAGGCCTGGCCCCTGGGGCTGTATGGGGCACGAGATTTAGTGCTTATCTCAAGGACCCCTCTGACACTAATACTTAGAATAGCATTTTTTCATTCCGGAAGAAGAAGCCTGGGCTGGTCCGAGGTAAGAAACTGCACAGGCACAGGTGGAGGTGGTGGATGGGGATGTCAAGCCCATGCTCCTGCAGTATAGGCTGTCCTGTCCAGGGAAAGGCCACCAGGAGCAGGGCAGGGGAAGCCTGGGCACTAAGGGAGGGGCTGGCTGGCCTGGATTGCAGCCGATGGAAGAGAGGCGATGGGAGGAGTCTGGAGCCCAGCCCCGCAGAGGACAGTGCCCAGAGCTCTGAAAGTGTGTTCCTATGCCTCATCCCTCCATTTCTGACCGGGTCCCTTCTCCCATTCTCTTCTGTACCTTGGGACACTGACACCAAACCCTCCCAAGTTTAAGGGCAAGTTAAAGAATGTCCCAGTAAAATAAAATGACCCCCTGCCTGTCCCTAAAGCACACAGACAGCAGCTCTGCTGACTCAGACGCGCTCTGGCCTTGGTGTCTGACTCCTTGTGGGCCCAGCCCCACCTCCCCACACCCCATGTCCCACCTGGGGTGGAGCAGTGACAGCAGGAGCTGGGGTGCTCATGCTGGGCTCGTCATGTGTCCTTAGCCTGGCGAGTGCCTGTAGCACACAGGAGGCTTCAGAGCAAACAGGGACTGGAGAGGGGCCTGTGGGCAGCCCTTGGGTGCACGGTAGGCACATGGCAGGGACAGGCCGGGTCCATGTTCCTGAGGGTGGGTCTCTCCAGCCATGCCCATGTTTTGCAATTCTCAGTGCAGGTGCAGAAACCAGCAGAGCTAAAGTAGCCCGACACATGGCAGATCTGATCTCTGCGCAGTCTGAGCGCATAGGCTCAGCAGCAGAGCGGGGTCCTGGCTACCAGAACTGGCCCTGAAACTCTGAGGACAGGGAATCAGTTAGGCACTCAACACCTCATGTTTTTCTGGGGAGCTGGACAATGTTTTGAGAGCAAACTAGTAAGAATCTCTCCCCATCCTGCAAAACAAAAGGAAAGTGGGGAGAGCAGGCACCAGAGGCTCCGACTTCCAGCAGAGGGACAGGTGTGAGAGCTCAGACCAGACCAGCAGGAAGACGCAGTGCATGGAGGGAATAGCAGAGCAGAGGAGCAGTGATTACTGTCTCTGTGAGGCCCTCACTGCCTGTGCTGATAAGACACTGGCCGTGGTGGGAACACTGGTTTAGGGCTCACTCAGGGGACTTTCCTGCATTTCCTGGTGAGAGGGGTCACTCTGTCTGCAGGACTGGAAGCTTCTCTATGAGAAACCTCCAGAGGCAGCATCTACTGAAGACCAGCCCCGGAGGCCGAAGTGTGCTGCTGGCCAGGTGCCTGCCACTCAAGCCCTGTGCCCACCCGCCCAGATGGACGAGAGGACGCCTTACGTTGTTCTCCAGGCCTTCTATCACTTCGATGCCGTTGTGGCTGAGGTACAGCTCCCTCAGGTTTACCAGGCTCTGCAGACCCTCCATCTTGGTCAGCCTGTTGCTCTGGAAGGGAGAGCCGACAGCCGTCAGAATCATGTGTAGGATGTGAGATAAGACAGCTTTTAGGAAAGGAGGTTTCTCTTGTTGGAGAATTCGGACAATTGGGCATTCCACTTAAAACAGGCCAGCATCAGGTTATGAAGAGAGAGAAAGATCAGCATCTCCAGTCTGTTGTCCTGGGCTACAATTCATGCGTGAAGGTTGAAGGTTTTTATGCAAAGAATTTATTGTTTTTAGATGTACTCAGGGAGGGTCTAAAAATCAGCTTAGTAGTTCAAATGTTAAGATCACTGAATATTTTAAAATTCTTCTTTCTTTCTTTCAGGATATGTTGTAACTCAAATTAAACTATGAGGCTCTCCCATACCCAGTCCCTGTCACCAGAACACCCACCACATCCCACCTCCCTGGTCTGATTCCACTCATTGGCTTTTAACAGAAAAGGTCACGTGAGCCTAGCAATATTCAGGTGCTGACTCCCAAATGCAGAGTAGGACCCTCGCCCACCATTGAGCCAAATATGCTAGGAACATTTGGAACAAACTTATCCTTCTCAAGATGCCCCTTTGCCTAAAAACCACCAGGGACTTTTACTAAGAAAAGGAACGTGACCCATAAAAGATGAAGTGTTAGTCTAACACGCATATGTTCACAGGAGCATGTGCACATATGAGATCTAATGCTTCAACTGCTCGTGATGCAGTGCTGATCATGGACATAGTGGGAGAGAAAACTGTGCCAAGTAGCAGCTCTGGCTGGCTGGGAGGCCATGCAGGCCCTGCTGGTTCAGGACAGGGGGTGGAGGTGGGGCAAGCTGGTTTGATACCTGTATACTGAGGACTGTCAGGTTGGAGAGTGCATCCAGGTTTTGAAGTTTAGTGATCTTGTTTTTCCCCAAAAACAAACTGTCCAAATTGGTTAACGTGTCGATATTTTCAATGGCCTGTAAAACGGACAGAGCAACAGTTTTCCCAGGGGAGGGCACAGCACTCTCTGGATTTCGTCTTGGGGTGTCAGGCAAGTCTCAATCTGGAAACTTTGCAGTAAAATCTTACTTCAAAGTACAGAATGAAAAAACTGAGGATAGGTGGAGGGTCTGAGGCCTGTCTCTCAGGCTCACTCCTAACCTCCATGGACCAGATTTCCAATCCTCCCAGTTCTGAGCTGACACTGTTCTGTTAGTCTATGTGGGGTTTGTTACAATGCATCCCACCAGCCTCAGTCTCCCCAGAAGTGAGCCTCCACGCAGGACCTGGCTGTGCCCCTCTTCCTCGTTCCCCACCCTTTCTCGTCCTCCCTGCCAGGTGCTGAGCTCTGCGCATCTGCACACAGCAGGGTTTAATGAATGTGCAGTGACCAGATCTGTCTCCCTCCTCTGCTCAGTCAGGGCGGGCTAGCACGGGGGTGACCGCAGCAAGTGCACGAGGTGCAGCTGTCTGCCCATTGCAGCAGGACTTGGCTGGGGGGTCTATGAGGATGGAGACTCAGGAGAGGGCACCCTTAACAGCTCCTGCCTGCGGTAATTTGTGACAAGCCACCTCTCCTGGAACGTGCCACAGAGACACTTAATAAAATACTGATGTGACTGCTCTCTAGTTTTAAACGTATGGCTCTGCTGCCACATTACCGCCAACAGTGTCTGTCCTCACTACAGCCACCTCTTTGGTTTGTGTCCTGCCCAACTCTGAAGGGCCAAGCCGGACCGACAACTGTCAGCTGTAAGCTTCCGAAAGCCATACGGAGGGCTACTTTCCCCAGGGACGGAGGGGAAGAAATGCTCAAAGATACCTGAGCTCAGCTGCTCAGCAAGGCCAGTGGGAAGCACAGGCTTCCTGTGGCCCTGGTGGAGGTCAGGTTGCTGTCAGCCCCTCTGCTCGGAACACGCTCATGTCAGGCAGGATTGTCAGAAACACAACCAAAGTGTTTGGGGTCGATCAGTTCACCTCAGGCAGAATGTACTGGTAACTGGGATGGTTTGCTAAGAGTTTAGCTCAGACTGGGATGGAGAGCAAGTGAAACCTACATGCAGCAGGCTCGGCCACTCCATTTGGGCACATATTCTTTTTTTTTATTTTTTATTTTGTTTTGTTTTTATACCAAGCAACCTATGTAACAAACATGGTTGTTTTATTTTTCTGGGCACATATTCTTATTAATACTGACCCTAGTATTTTTCTTAAAAATTAACTTTTGTTTCTGGGGGGGAAAAATCACACCCTATGGAAAATATACATCCTGTACCCCCAGGCCATGCCCACACCTACCCGGATGCGGTTGGATCCCAGCTCCAGCATCTCCAGTTGACGTAAGTTGCTCAAGTTCTCAATTTTATTGATTTTATTGTTGACCAAGAAGAGCTTTTTCAGTTTTGTCAACTTGTCAACCCCTTCAATGTTTCTCAGTAGATTAAAAGAAATATCTAGAATCCTGGAATGAGCAAAACAATTATTTTTGAAGAGTACAGGCCACACAGAACTCAGAATATAACTGTCTCAAGGGCGGCATCCCCACCCGGGGAACAGCCTCCAGAGCCCCCAATACCTGCTCACAGGACTGCACTGAGGGCAGACACCATGTCATCCCCTACTGACAGGACCAACCAGCAGCCTCTACCCAAAGTTTGATTTGCAGGCTGGGACTGGGCAAGCTGATGCCACCGATGGAGCCAGGAATGGGGCAGGACCCAATGGCAGAGGTGGCCTCTCCAGGGCAGACTGGTTCTGGGGACACTGGTCAGCCCCAGGTCATCCCTGGGGCTTGGGACTCACTCCAGCTCTGTTAGTGTGTCCAGATTCTCTATCTTCTTGATCTGGTTGTCATACAGGTCCAGTTCTCGGAGGCTGTGCAGCTCCTCCAGGTTCTCAATGCACTTAATTAGATTTTGACGGAGGCAGAGAGTCTGGAGGGTTGGAAAAAGGATACTTGACGTAGGCAACAAACAGGGAGGTCATGGGAAAGCCTTAGGGGGAAGGATGTGTTTTCTAGAAAGGGGCTGGCATGGGGAAGATGGAAGACACCCACAGGAAGGCTGCAGACAGGCCCTGTACCAAGAAGACCTGCTCAGTAAGGGAGGCTTTGGTCAGTTTGGGGTGTATGTTGTTTCCTGGCAGAGTGAACCCTTGGGCTCAGGTGAGTTCAGGACTGTACAGTCTGATGCAGGCTCAGCTGCAGGCAAGCCCTGAACTGAGGCTCTGCTAGCAGCAGTGGGTCTGAGCCGCTGCCTGAACTGGGGCCGAGTCATAGCCGCCTGCACTACTCCTCAAAACTGCCATGTTCATAGCCACCTGCACTACTCCTCAAAACTGCCATGTTCATAGCCACCTGCACTACTCCTCAAAACTGCCATGTTCATAGCCACCTGCACTACTCCTCAAAACTGCCATGTTCATAGCCACCTGCACTACTCCTCAAAACTGCCATGTTCATAGCCACCTGCACTACTCCTCAAAACTGCCATGTTCATAGCCACCTGCACTACTCCTCAAAACTGCCATGTTCATGCTCAATGTGGTTCCTGATGTAGGTGGCACCTCCTGCCGGACTGTGCTTGCCTCAGAGCTGAGTCTCAGTTATGGATTTACCTACACCCTGTGGGTGGGGCAAGCTCTGGACTATTACAAAATCACCTCACATGAAAGGACAGACCTCCTCTCACCTTCACTTTCTTCAGAACCTCAAATCCTTCAATTTTTCCAATGCGGTAGTGATTCAGGTCAATGTCCTGAAACAGAGAAGAAATTGAACTTAGCTGCAGGAAAGTGCCCAGAGCCCCACTTCTAGGAGCCTTGCTTCCTAGAACAGGAGCTAAAAAGGGGCCTGATAGGGGGGTGGACATGAGGGTGGGGAGAATAGGTGAGCCAGTGCAACACAAAAGTCTGCAGCAGATAGGTGACAGGGACATAGAGGTGAACTTCAAGATGCTCATGGGTTTAGCTAGGATTTATCATAGTTTTATGTAAAACTAACCCTCCAAATGAGCGGTATATGACATCTTCCTCTCACCCCCTAGTGCAAAATGAGGTGCAAGAAGGTACACCCAGCCCTAACTGGTTTGGCTCAGCGGATAGAGTGTCGGCCTGTGGACTGAAGGGTCCCAGGTTCGATCCCGGTCAAGGGCATGTACCTGGGTTGCGGGCACATCCCCAGAAGGGGGCGTGCACGAGACAGCTGAATCGATGTTTCTCTCTCATCGATGTTTCTAATTCTCTATCCCTCTCCCTCTCCCTTCCTCTCTGTAAAAAATCAATAAAATATATTAAAAAAAAAAAAGAAGGTACACCCAGCCACAGCACTGCCAGAGGCTCCATGGTTGGTTATTATGCAACAGGTGCTTCTGCAGGCCTTGGATTATAACTGCTTTTCAGATGTGGATGTTAGCACCCCACATTTATAATGTAATCACTGGATCTATTGATTTATGATTCAAAGGAGTTTCATTTGCCACAACGTGGCAAACAGAAATGGAATTCAAATCAGTGCTATTAAAAACAATAAGAACCCAAGGAATCTGACCCACCCAAGGGAGGCTTAGACGACCTCCTCTAGGTGATCACTTACTAATCTGGCACCTTCATAAAAGATAACCTGACGGTCAGAGTGGTCCGTCACCACGCCCCCTGAGGCTGGGTCGAGCAGGCGGCATTACCTCTGCATCTCTGTCCAGGGTAATGGTTTCCATATCCACAGGCAGCTCTTGTCCTGAAAAAGTGAGAGAGAGGAAAAAAGAGCCCACTCAGAGCCCCCATGGCAGGAGGCAGCAGCCAGCCTCGGTGAAGAGCTGGCACGCAGGCCTCCTGGTGCAGAGTGGACTCCAATGCAGAGGAGACACCAACAGGTGACAACTGGAGGATCTGGATGGCGCAGAGGGCTAAGTAACACCCTACTCCAGCCATGGTCACCTTTCCAGCATTCTGAGTTTCCTGAATTCAGCTATCGGCAAAGGTCTCCACACTTCCATCTGTACTGCAGAGCATTCAGAGAAAGGAAATGTGGTCTGAGGCTGGCCACCAACCTCCCACTTCTGGTGACAACCAGAGCTGTGTAACTGGCAGCAGGACCCCCCTCCCCCACCCCCCCAGTCTGTGGTAATATACCAGGCCATTTGACTATAGACCATGCTGGGCATATCAGATGTTCTGGGATGTGCCTTTTATTGCTTTGGAAAGTGGCCCAGCATCTACAAACACTTCTCTCTGCAAAGAGCACAAGAGAATGAAGCATGGCTCAGCAGATAGATCAGCCCTGTTGAATAATTTAAATATACTTGACTGGGAGGCTGGAAGCTGAACCAGCAGAGGACCTCCACCCTGTAGGCTGGGCCTCCTGGGACATCCGATGGCTGAGGAAGGCTGCAAGAACCACTCTTGCTGCAGAGTTCAGAGTCTCAAATTAGCAGAACCCCCTCCCCCATCTTTATTTCATTTGACCCTATCTAGGCATTATGTTTAAAAGGGTTAAATTCTTAAAAAGAGTAACAGTAATTTCTTGATTTCACCAACTATCTTATGATTTCTTCTCCCACTGAGTGAGTACTGCTTGAATTAGGATATGAAGGTCATATATTGAGGCTGAATGGCTTTTCTCTAAAGTCCCTTTTTGCTCCCCCAATGCTTTGTTGAAGAAGCCAGGCTGCCTGTCTTACAGAGCTTCTCTGGGTTGGATTGGAGCGTGTGGCTGCCATCTCATCTATTTCCTGTAAACTGGTTGTTACACTCTTGCCTGGCTCCCATTGCTACCCCTTCCATTCAACAAAACTGTGTTTGCTTCTGCAGTGCAGCTCGCTTGCAGCTCCCAATCTCCTGAGGTCAGCCTGGCCCCTGCACTGGAGGCCTCAGTGGGGCGCACTTGACATAGGACCAGCTTAATCAGGAAGTACTGGCCTCACACTGGCTGAAATCACTTCCTAGTCTTTTCACTATACCTTTTCCATAATGATCAATAGTGGCTAGATTTATTTATTTATTTATTTTTTAAAATATTTTTATTGATTTTTTACAGAGAGGAAGAGAGAGGGATAGAGAGTTAGAAACATCGATGAGAGAGAAACATCGACCAGCTGCCTCCTGCACACCTCCCACTGGGGATGTGCCCGCAACCGAGGTACATGCCCTTGACCGGAATCGAACCTGGGACCTTTCAGTCCGCAGGCCGACGCTCTATCCACCGAGCCAAACCGGTTTTGGCTAGATTTTAAAAAATGTCTTCTACAGTGTATCCAAAACTTTATGAGATATCACCAACCTAAGAATTAAATAAAAGAAGCTGAGCAAAACCAAGAGATATAACCAAGCTACTTGCCCCCACCACCCTCCCCACCCCTCCTCAGCCCCCAAGACAGCCTAAATTCACCATCAGGACCCAGGATGCTGCAGTGAGAGAGGCTATGCAATGAAGGCCAGATACTTGGGTCACTCAATGTCTAAACCAGGATGCTTTAGAATAAAAGGGGCACCACAGACAATCATGCTGGGCCACCAGATGGAAATTGGGGCTGTCTTGGGCTCCTCAAGGACATGTGGTTACATGGCTTAAAGGGGTTCTGTCTGTAATCCATCCAGCACAGGACAGGCCCCCAAAATGTCAGTTTATCCTTTAAAACAAAGTTATTACACTAGAACATCTTTCTGTATATATTCTGCACTGACCATATTTTGTGATTTCTTAGGGAAAATAAGTAAAAGGGAACAGTTGACATGTTTGAATTTGTTTTATTTGAACTTCAGATTTAAATATAGGTAGGAGCAAGTCCTACTTTCGCTAAGGACTTAAAAAAATGTGTATTCCCAGAGAACTTCTAACCAGTTAGTAGTTTGGAGGAAAGAATGCTGGGTTTAGATAACCCAGCTCAAATCCAGCTGTTCCACTTTGGAGCCATGTGCCCTTGGGCTCATCGTAGTGAGCCTGGGAGAGGACGCCCATGACAGAGCTCCGTCAACTCTCCAGTCCAGCACAAGCAGCAGGTGTTCATATGTGACGACAGGTGATGCTCCCACCTGCTTGGCTTTCTAGACCTCAGACAGACAGCAATGAAAGCTTTCACCATCACTCCCATGTACTTATCCCACCCACATCATCTCCAGAATATCGACTGCAGTTCTGAAATGTGACTGGTGCTTTTGTGGTAATCTCCTTTGCCTTAAAATTAGGTTGCCATAGTTACCAGTCATCTTCACCGGCACAGAGAGCACAATGTTATTTTAAAAATTTGTTTGGTTTTTATAAATTTGTTGTTTTTATTACTAGAAAGGTAAAATGCACGATTACTACCTTGAATATCCACAACTGTATATAAATCTAGAAAATGAAGAAGGTACAAGGCCTTCACCAACCTGCTGTTCAGTGACACCTTCAACAACAGCTTGAAGCATTTTCTCTGGAGCAGGTAAAACCACATATTAATAGTTTTTAAATAAAAACAAGATCTTAACATGCATACTTTTTGGAAATTTCCTTTTTTCACCTAATAATATATCTTGGACAGCTTTTTTTCTGTTTATATGGTTTCTACTCTCATTCTTTTCAATGTAAGTTGATTTTCTAAGCAACAAACAAATGGGCTAAGATCATGGCTGGGGAGTGTGAAAAGCTACCATCATGGGCTAAGGACTTACTTCTCTCGTCTCCAAATTCATTTTGCTGTTCTTGTTATTCACTAAAACAACAGGAGGCCACTGGTACGTTTTCCACATAAAAGGATTTCCCTAACACCTGGGCAGTGAAGAAGTCCATCCTCAGAACTATAAAAATGGTGAAGAAGGACTCAAGAAATGACTTCTTTAAGACATTAAAAGTGCTATTCTGGCTCTAACTGGTTTGGCTCAGTGGATAGAGAGTCAGCCTGCGGACTGAAGGGTCCCAGGTTTGATTCCAGTCAAGGGCACATGCCTGGGTTGCAGGCTTGATCCCCAGTAGGAGACGTGCAAGAGACAGCCAATCAATGATTCTCTCTCACCATTGATGTTTCTATCTCTCTTTCCCTCTCCCTTCCTCTCTGAAATCAATAAAGATATATATTAAAAAAAAAAAGTGCTATTCTGAAAGCAGTTTGTATTACTATGGTAGGACATCAAAGCATAGTAGTTAGTCAGCCATAATGTTTACTGTAAATCTCATTCTGAACATATGGTTAATAAAACAATTTTCTGATTCTGTCCCAAATGATGCACTAGTACCAATATCATTATTAGTATTTGCCTTCAGTGGAATTAGAAAAGTTGCACTCTGTCTGCAAGTGCCAGCAGTCAGCTGGTTAGGGGAGCGCGCATCAGACGGGCCCTGCTCCTAGCCCACCGGGGGCCTCTGTGGCTGCACCAGCAGACCAACACAGTACAGCGGTCCTCCCCAGAATGACACACGCTGCCACCTTGGGAAGGGGGAGACAGATTGCGTGCAACACTGCCTGCACCCCTTTAGTGACCAAGGTTCTTAACTGGGCAGGGTACCTGCTGGTTCTTCTTCCCCCCGCTCCTCTCCATCCTTCAGGCTGTGCTCGCTGAGGTCTGCCACTATACGGCTGCTCTGCTTTTTCCCTTCTTCATCGCCCGATTCTTCAGACTCGACCCGCCTGTCAACTGAACCCACACAGATCAATGAGAATTCCCATCCACATCATGTTCTCTTTGAAGTACATATAACAGACAGACATCCAGTTGCAAGTAAAAAACGCCATTTAAAAACATTTGTTGAATTCAGTTCAATGAACATTTGAGTGTCTTCCATGTCCCAGGTACCATCTGTACAGTGGCAGGGAGATCTGGGGGTGGGTTGGGAAGGGGGCAGGGAGGCCACATGGGCATGAAGGTGAGTATCATACTATTCCTCAAGGAGCTCATGAAGAGTCCCCAGGTGTTCTGAATGCCCTGGGATGTTGCGATTAAATGTACTAGTGCTAAAATGCAGCGAAGCCTGGATATCCGTGTAGAGGGGACCATTGTGACCCTTCCACCACATACCTTCATCCATGCTCCACTATCCATTTGGTCAAGAAAACCAGCCCAGTTCACAGGCCCACGTTCTGAAAGAAATCAAGACTAACTCAAATCAGACTGTGGGCAGGGAGCTCTAATGAAAAAGGAGAAGACAGCCAATAGTGCTAACTGCCCCCCGTAAAGGTCACAGATGCTAACCCTCAGGACATAGTGATGCTAGCCAGCTCAAAGCTTTGAAGAGCTGTCAAGTAATTATTTTTTGAATTAATAATAAGGCAATGATGAAATGTGGCAGATTGGTAAAAATTCATTGGCAAAATTGTAAAATAATGTTCCTTTCTCCTAACTTTCTTCATGATGTCTTTGGAAGTTTGTCTAGAAGCCCCAACGCACTTAGAACTTACTTGGAATCATCAACCACACTGAAAGATTGCGTGTTCCTGAGTCCAGCTTATCTACAGAGGGAGGGAAGTGCTGTTTCATTTTTGTATCTCCACTGGGCCTAGTAAGGAAGCGTCTAGGAAAGGACTGCTGGACAAAACATATCCCTATGAAATCCACCTCCAAAACCTCCACATCTGTTCCTCTTCCCTGCCCTTGGCAACTGCTTTGGCTCAGCTACTCATTACTTGTGGCCTGGGCTCATGCTGGGCCTCCTAACTGGTCTTTCTGTGATTTGTCTGACCCTGTCTAATCTATTCTCCATTGTCAGAGAATTTGATCTGATTCTAAAATCCAAATCTGATCTTTGACTCCAAAAACTCCTAGAATGCCAATGGCTCTTCCTGAGTCTACATCTTGACCTTAGAAGCACAGCTTGGCAAGTTACTTCCTTTTCCAAGCTGCAGCCTTCAAATCTGCAGAAGGGATCTAGTATAGTAACTATATCTTAGAGTTGATCAGAATTAAATTAGAGAAGGCACAGAAGCAGTTAGCTTTTAATAAATAAAAGCGGTAACAGTTAATAAATTAATTACAGGTATTCCCTGCTTCCCAAAAGTTCACTTTATGCCACGTCATCTTTAAGAAAGAACTACATTAGTTCTTTCACTAATGAGAGATCTGTAAAGAGAATTTTCTTTGATGAAAAATGTGAAAAGCAAAAATAGCATCGTTTTGTTTTGCAATGAGCTCTAATAGAGGCAGCTTGAACTCCAACCAGCCAGTGTGGCACCACCAAGCTCCTTCCCCAGGGACTATACCCGGCATCTCAGCATCAAGATGCCATAGCTTTGAACTCTATCTGTGAGTGTCTATGCTTCATCTTGATTCTGTGCATCCATTAGCAAGATGTGCCCTAAGATAACCGCTTCTTCACTTTATTCCATTTTGGCTTTGAAAGGTTTCATAGGAACATTTCACTTTCAGATACTTGAGGAAACCTGCATTGCCAGGCACAAGCACTCTGTGGCCACAGCTAAAGGAGAGCAAGTTCTACTGGGCCAAGATCTGGTGTGGCTGGAGCCAGGAATGGGGCAGGACCCAATGGCAGAGGTGGCCTCTCCAGGGCAGACTGGTTCTGGGGACACTGGTCAGCCCCAGGTCATCCCTGGGGCTTGGGACTCACTCCAGCTCTGTTAGTGTGTCCAGATTCTCTATCTTCTTGATCTGGTTGTCATACAGGTCCAGTTCTCGGAGGCTGTGCAGCTCCTCCAGGTTCTCAATGCACTTAATTAGATTTTGACGGAGGCAGAGAGTCTGGAGGGTTGGAAAAAGGATACTTGACGTAGGCAACAAACAGGGAGGTCATGGGAAAGCCTTAGGGGGAAGGATGTGTTTTCTAGAAAGGGGCTGGCATGGGGAAGATGGAAGACACCCACAGGAAGGCTGCAGACAGGCCCTGTACCAAGAAGACCTGCTCAGTAAGGGAGGCTTTGGTCAGTTTGGGGTGTATGTTGTTTCCTGGCAGAGTGAACCCTTGGGCTCAGGTGAGTTCAGGACTGTACAGTCTGATGCAGGCTCAGCTGCAGGCAAGCCCTGAACTGAGGCTCTGCTAGCAGCAGTGGGTCTGAGCCGCTGCCTGAACTGGGGCCGAGTCATAGCCGCCTGCACTACTCCTCAAAACTGCCATGTTCATGCTCAATGTGGTTCCTGATGTAGGTGGCACCTCCTGCCGGACTGTGCTTGCCTCAGAGCTGAGTCTCAGTTATGGATTTACCTACACCCTGTGGGTGGGGCAAGCTCTGGACTATTACAAAATCACCTCACATGAAAGGACAGACCTCCTCTCACCTTCACTTTCTTCAGAACCTCAAATCCTTCAATTTTTCCAATGCGGTAGTGATTCAGGTCAATGTCCTGAAACAGAGAAGAAATTGAACTTAGCTGCAGGAAAGTGCCCAGAGCCCCACTTCTAGGAGCCTTGCTTCCTAGAACAGGAGCTAAAAAGGGGCCTGATAGGGGGGTGGACATGAGGGTGGGGAGAATAGGTGAGCCAGTGCCACACAAAAGTCTGCAGCAGATAGGTGACAGGGACATAGAGGTGAACTTCAAGATGCTCATGGGTTTAGCTAGGATTTATCATAGTTTTATGTAAAACTAACCCTCCAAATGAGCGGTATATGACATCTTCCTCTCACCCCCTAGTGCAAAATGAGGTGCAAGAAGGTACACCCAGCCCTAACTGGTTTGGCTCAGCGGATAGAGTGTCGGCCTGTGGACTGAAGGGTCCCAGGTTCGATCCCGGTCAAGGGCATGTACCTGGGTTGCGGGCACATCCCCAGAAGGGGGCGTGCACGAGACAGCTGAATCGATGTTTCTCTCTCATCGATGTTTCTAATTCTCTATCCCTCTCCCTCTCCCTTCCTCTCTGTAAAAAATCAATAAAATATATTAAAAAAAAAAAAGAAGGTACACCCAGCCACAGCACTGCCAGAGGCTCCATGGTTGGTTATTATGCAACAGGTGCTTCTGCAGGCCTTGGATTATAACTGCTTTTCAGATGTGGATGTTAGCACCCCACATTTATAATGTAATCACTGGATCTATTGATTTATGATTCAAAGGAGTTTCATTTGCCACAACGTGGCAAACAGAAATGGAATTCAAATCAGTGCTATTAAAAACAATAAGAACCCAAGGAATCTGACCCACCCAAGGGAGGCTTAGACGACCTCCTCTAGGTGATCACTTACTAATCTGGCACCTTCATAAAAGATAACCTGACGGTCAGAGTGGTCCGTCACCACGCCCCCTGAGGCTGGGTCGAGCAGGCGGCATTACCTCTGCATCTCTGTCCAGGGTAATGGTTTCCATATCCACAGGCAGCTCTTGTCCTGAAAAAGTGAGAGAGAGGAAAAAAGAGCCCACTCAGAGCCCCCATGGCAGGAGGCAGCAGCCAGCCTCGGTGAAGAGCTGGCACGCAGGCCTCCTGGTGCAGAGTGGACTCCAATGCAGAGGAGACACCAACAGGTGACAACTGGAGGATCTGGATGGCGCAGAGGGCTAAGTAACACCCTACTCCAGCCATGGTCACCTTTCCAGCATTCTGAGTTTCCTGAATTCAGCTATCGGCAAAGGTCTCCACACTTCCATCTGTACTGCAGAGCATTCAGAGAAAGGAAATGTGGTCTGAGGCTGGCCACCAACCTCCCACTTCTGGTGACAACCAGAGCTGTGTAACTGGCAGCAGGACCCCCCTCCCCCACCCCCCCAGTCTGTGGTAATATACCAGGCCATTTGACTATAGACCATGCTGGGCATATCAGATGTTCTGGGATGTGCCTTTTATTGCTTTGGAAAGTGGCCCAGCATCTACAAACACTTCTCTCTGCAAAGAGCACAAGAGAATGAAGCATGGCTCAGCAGATAGATCAGCCCTGTTGAATAATTTAAATATACTTGACTGGGAGGCTGGAAGCTGAACCAGCAGAGGACCTCCACCCTGTAGGCTGGGCCTCCTGGGACATCCGATGGCTGAGGAAGGCTGCAAGAACCACTCTTGCTGCAGAGTTCAGAGTCTCAAATTAGCAGAACCCCCTCCCCCATCTTTATTTCATTTGACCCTATCTAGGCATTATGTTTAAAAGGGTTAAATTCTTAAAAAGAGTAACAGTAATTTCTTGATTTCACCAACTATCTTATGATTTCTTCTCCCACTGAGTGAGTACTGCTTGAATTAGGATATGAAGGTCATATATTGAGGCTGAATGGCTTTTCTCTAAAGTCCCTTTTTGCTCCCCCAATGCTTTGTTGAAGAAGCCAGGCTGCCTGTCTTACAGAGCTTCTCTGGGTTGGATTGGAGCGTGTGGCTGCCATCTCATCTATTTCCTGTAAACTGGTTGTTACACTCTTGCCTGGCTCCCATTGCTACCCCTTCCATTCAACAAAACTGTGTTTGCTTCTGCAGTGCAGCTCGCTTGCAGCTCCCAATCTCCTGAGGTCAGCCTGGCCCCTGCACTGGAGGCCTCAGTGGGGCGCACTTGACATAGGACCAGCTTAATCAGGAAGTACTGGCCTCACACTGGCTGAAATCACTTCCTAGTCTTTTCACTATACCTTTTCCATAATGATCAATAGTGGCTAGATTTATTTATTTATTTATTTTTTAAAATATTTTTATTGATTTTTTACAGAGAGGAAGAGAGAGGGATAGAGAGTTAGAAACATCGATGAGAGAGAAACATCGACCAGCTGCCTCCTGCACACCTCCCACTGGGGATGTGCCCGCAACCGAGGTACATGCCCTTGACCGGAATCGAACCTGGGACCTTTCAGTCCGCAGGCCGACGCTCTATCCACCGAGCCAAACCGGTTTTGGCTAGATTTTAAAAAATGTCTTCTACAGTGTATCCAAAACTTTATGAGATATCACCAACCTAAGAATTAAATAAAAGAAGCTGAGCAAAACCAAGAGATATAACCAAGCTACTTGCCCCCACCACCCTCCCCACCCCTCCTCAGCCCCCAAGACAGCCTAAATTCACCATCAGGACCCAGGATGCTGCAGTGAGAGAGGCTATGCAATGAAGGCCAGATACTTGGGTCACTCAATGTCTAAACCAGGATGCTTTAGAATAAAAGGGGCACCACAGACAATCATGCTGGGCCACCAGATGGAAATTGGGGCTGTCTTGGGCTCCTCAAGGACATGTGGTTACATGGCTTAAAGGGGTTCTGTCTGTAATCCATCCAGCACAGGACAGGCCCCCAAAATGTCAGTTTATCCTTTAAAACAAAGTTATTACACTAGAACATCTTTCTGTATATATTCTGCACTGACCATATTTTGTGATTTCTTAGGGAAAATAAGTAAAAGGGAACAGTTGACATGTTTGAATTTGTTTTATTTGAACTTCAGATTTAAATATAGGTAGGAGCAAGTCCTACTTTCGCTAAGGACTTAAAAAAATGTGTATTCCCAGAGAACTTCTAACCAGTTAGTAGTTTGGAGGAAAGAATGCTGGGTTTAGATAACCCGGCTCAAATCCAGCTGTTCCACTTTGGAGCCATGTGCCCTTGGGCTCATCGTAGTGAGCCTGGGAGAGGACGCCCATGACAGAGCTCCGTCAACTCTCCAGTCCAGCACAAGCAGCAGGTGTTCATATGTGACGACAGGTGATGCTCCCACCTGCTTGGCTTTCTAGACCTCAGACAGACAGCAATGAAAGCTTTCACCATCACTCCCATGTACTTATCCCACCCACATCATCTCCAGAATATCGACTGCAGTTCTGAAATGTGACTGGTGCTTTTGTGGTAATCTCCTTTGCCTTAAAATTAGGTTGCCATAGTTACCAGTCATCTTCACCGGCACAGAGAGCACAATGTTATTTTAAAAATTTGTTTGGTTTTTATAAATTTGTTGTTTTTATTACTAGAAAGGTAAAATGTACGATTACTACCTTGAATATCCACAACTGTATATAAATCTAGAAAATGAAGAAGGTACAAGGCCTTCACCAACCTGCTGTTCAGTGACACCTTCAACAACAGCTTGAAGCATTTTCTCTGGAGCAGGTAAAACCACATATTAATAGTTTTTAAATAAAAACAAGATCTTAACATGCATACTTTTTGGAAATTTCCTTTTTTCACCTAATAATATATCTTGGACAGCTTTTTTTCTGTTTATATGGTTTCTACTCTCATTCTTTTCAATGTAAGTTGATTTTCTAAGCAACAAACAAATGGGCTAAGATCATGGCTGGGGAGTGTGAAAAGCTACCATCATGGGCTAAGGACTTACTTCTCTCGTCTCCAAATTCATTTTGCTGTTCTTGTTATTCACTAAAACAACAGGAGGCCACTGGTACGTTTTCCACATAAAAGGATTTCCCTAACACCTGGGCAGTGAAGAAGTCCATCCTCAGAACTATAAAAATGGTGAAGAAGGACTCAAGAAATGACTTCTTTAAGACATTAAAAGTGCTATTCTGGCTCTAACTGGTTTGGCTCAGTGGATAGAGCGTCAGCCTGCGGACTGAAGGGTCCCAGGTTTGATTCCAGTCAAGGGCACATGCCTGGGTTGCAGGCTTGATCCCCAGTAGGAGACGTGCAAGAGACAGCCAATCAATGATTCTCTCTCACCATTGATGTTTCTATCTCTCTTTCCCTCTCCCTTCCTCTCTGAAATCAATAAAGATATATATTAAAAAAAAAAAGTGCTATTCTGAAAGCAGTTTGTATTACTATGGTAGGACATCAAAGCATAGTAGTTAGTCAGCCATAATGTTTACTGTAAATCTCATTCTGAACATATGGTTAATAAAACAATTTTCTGATTCTGTCCCAAATGATGCACTAGTACCAATATCATTATTAGTATTTGCCTTCAGTGGAATTAGAAAAGTTGCACTCTGCCTGCAAGTGCCAGCAGTCAGCTGGTTAGGGGAGCGCGCATCAGACGGGCCCTGCTCCTAGCCCACCGGGGGCCTCTGTGGCTGCACCAGCAGACCAACACAGTACAGCGGTCCTCCCCAGAATGACACACGCTGCCACCTTGGGAAGGGGGAGACAGATTGCGTGCAACACTGCCTGCACCCCTTTAGTGACCAAGGTTCTTAACTGGGCAGGGTACCTGCTGGTTCTTCTTCCCCCCGCTCCTCTCCATCCTTCAGGCTGTGCTCGCTGAGGTCTGCCACTATACGGCTGCTCTGCTTTTTCCCTTCTTCATCGCCCGATTCTTCAGACTCGACCCGCCTGTCAACTGAACCCACACAGATCAATGAGAATTCCCATCCACATCATGTTCTCTTTGAAGTACATATAACAGACAGACATCCAGTTGCAAGTAAAAAACGCCATTTAAAAACATTTGTTGAATTCAGTTCAATGAACATTTGAGTGTCTTCCATGTCCCAGGTACCATCTGTACAGTGGCAGGGAGATCTGGGGGTGGGTTGGGAAGGGGGCAGGGAGGCCACATGGGCATGAAGGTGAGTATCATACTATTCCTCAAGGAGCTCATGAAGAGTCCCCAGGTGTTCTGAATGCCCTGGGATGTTGCGATTAAATGTACTAGTGCTAAAATGCAGCGAAGCCTGGATATCCGTGTAGAGGGGACCATTGTGACCCTTCCACCACATACCTTCATCCATGCTCCACTATCCATTTGGTCAAGAAAACCAGCCCAGTTCACAGGCCCACGTTCTGAAAGAAATCAAGACTAACTCAAATCAGACTGTGGGCAGGGAGCTCTAATGAAAAAGGAGAAGACAGCCAATAGTGCTAACTGCCCCCCGTAAAGGTCACAGATGCTAACCCTCAGGACATAGTGATGCTAGCCAGCTCAAAGCTTTGAAGAGCTGTCAAGTAATTATTTTTTGAATTAATAATAAGGCAATGATGAAATGTGGCAGATTGGTAAAAATTCATTGGCAAAATTGTAAAATAATGTTCCTTTCTCCTAACTTTCTTCATGATGTCTTTGGAAGTTTGTCTAGAAGCCCCAACGCACTTAGAACTTACTTGGAATCATCAACCACACTGAAAGATTGCGTGTTCCTGAGTCCAGCTTATCTACAGAGGGAGGGAAGTGCTGTTTCATTTTTGTATCTCCACTGGGCCTAGTAAGGAAGCGTCTAGGAAAGGACTGCTGGACAAAACATATCCCTATGAAATCCACCTCCAAAACCTCCACATCTGTTCCTCTTCCCTGCCCTTGGCAACTGCTTTGGCTCAGCTACTCATTACTTGTGGCCTGGGCTCATGCTGGGCCTCCTAACTGGTCTTTCTGTGATTTGTCTGACCCTGTCTAATCTATTCTCCATTGTCAGAGAATTTGATCTGATTCTAAAATCCAAATCTGATCTTTGACTCCAAAAACTCCTAGAATGCCAATGGCTCTTCCTGAGTCTACATCTTGACCTTAGAAGCACAGCTTGGCAAGTTACTTCCTTTTCCAAGCTGCAGCCTTCAAATCTGCAGAAGGGATCTAGTATAGTAACTATATCTTAGAGTTGATCAGAATTAAATTAGAGAAGGCACAGAAGCAGTTAGCTTTTAATAAATAAAAGCGGTAACAGTTAATAAATTAATTACAGGTATTCCCTGCTTCCCAAAAGTTCACTTTATGCCACGTCATCTTTAAGAAAGAACTACATTAGTTCTTTCACTAATGAGAGATCTGTAAAGAGAATTTTCTTTGATGAAAAATGTGAAAAGCAAAAATAGCATCGTTTTGTTTTGCAATGAGCTCTAATAGAGGCAGCTTGAACTCCAACCAGCCAGTGTGGCACCACCAAGCTCCTTCCCCAGGGACTATACCCGGCATCTCAGCATCAAGATGCCATAGCTTTGAACTCTATCTGTGAGTGTCTATGCTTCATCTTGATTCTGTGCATCCATTAGCAAGATGTGCCCTAAGATAACCGCTTCTTCACTTTATTCCATTTTGGCTTTGAAAGGTTTCATAGGAACATTTCACTTTCAGATACTTGAGGAAACCTGCATTGCCAGGCACAAGCACTCTGTGGCCACAGCTAAAGGAGAGCAAGTTCTACTGGGCCAAGATCTGGTG